ATGTATTTTGAAGGTTTGCATTGAAAATAACGCGAGAAGTGTTCCCAACGGTACAACCATTGCCAAACATACGTGTCCCGATGTCTTGCACGTCAAGAAATCGTCAACGTAAAAAAGCCCCTTGATCAAACGTTTAAACAAGTATATAGAAAAGATCAACACTGAAAAAGAAATTATCTTAATCCCTTTCAATTTATTATTTCGTTGCATCTTGTTTCCTTCATATCAGTTGATTTGTAACATTGTAAATTTTACAGTCACCAAGATTTTTTGGGGGAAATGAACCTCGTAGAAAAATAGAAAAAAAATATCGATTAAAAAATCTTACTAATTTAAATGACAAAACGATGAAAGTGATTGCCCATAAACGAATAAGAAACGAAAAGCATTATACGTTATAAGCGCACAGATGTTCGCTAATTTGAATACGTCAACCGTCAAAAGGTTGCAAAGACTTAAATTTAGACTGTTACAAGTTAAGTCTTGAATGCACCAAAACGAAATGGGCTGCCCGAAAACGAAAACGAACATTCACAGCGAAATCTTGGCTGCCTAAAAATGAAATTGAATGAACCCCAAGTGAAAAAGAAACCCCAATTGGACCACATGTGCAAAACTCACGCGAAATTGAATGGCTGATAATGAAACTGATTAGAAAAATTCGTAAATTCGCCGGGAAAACCTATAATATATTTTTCTCCGGCCAATTGTACTAATTTTTCATTCAATTTAACACCTATGGTTAATTCATTTCAGATTAAAATGAAAAGATCACGCATACCGTCATTCGACTATCAAAAAGAATAATTTAATTTCATTATTCTAGCATTCTGAAAGTATCGTCTTGTTCTTTGAATTTCGTCTGAACCAACAGTAAGGGTTGATCGGACATTTATTTTCATTAATGAGCAAACATAATATTTAACATTTTGTCAAGCATATCTTAACTTCCTGCATGTCTGTATTCCTGTACAATTCTTAGTTATCTCAGCGTAAATCATATTATAATTTTTTACTAAAATGATACTTTTTGAATCTGAGTGAAAGACATTATCAGTTCAAAGATATGCATCTTTCAATCATTTCATAAACTGATTATTTTAATATTTGGTCAAGTGCAACTTGGAATAAATTATTACGTTAGTACTAACGGGGGTGATAATTGGGATGAAAATCAAAATGTTGGAATATGATTGTGCCCACTTCAGAGGTGATGCATTGGGTCATTTGAGGGATATTTTGTATAATAGGAAGTGGGTATCTAGCATGAAAAAAACCCACCCCATTCAAAAAACTAAATTTGCACTGCACGCACAGTGGACAGTGAGTATAATTGCGAAATGAATGCTCCCCCCCCCCATTTTAATAGCTTTGACATAGTTTATATTGAACACACCACTGAAGTCAGTAAGACTTTCATAGATGAGCACATAACTGACAAATTAATATAATTATTAAGAACATTATTAATGCACTAATATCACTAATATCACTAGATATACATGTAAATGATTGTATAAAACATAGGCCTAGGGGTCTTTCCACACAAACGGTATCTAAAGTGCGACATTTAGAGGGAACCATAGACAGAAGTCGATACATGAAGTACTCTGTCATGTTTTTTTTTTCTCTTTCTACATCGCATGTCCTGGTAAGAACATTGTCCACCAACAAGTTTGATACATTTCTCAGGACTCCAGAAATTACAGAGAAGTATCTTCCAGATTTAACGTTCATAACATGGACAGACATTTCATTTTTAAGTGTTGGGAAGCAGTAAATGAAATGCATGTATTATCCCAGATTTGTTCCTAAAGTAAAGCTATCCATTGAGGGATTACCACTGGCCAATCTTACATTAAACCTCTACCGGTAGGTATTTTCAAACTACAGGGATGTACATCTTCAAGACTTCATACATTTTTATAACAGGAACAGAAATTCATCACAAATTTGTGTCCTTGTTATGAACATGTATCAAGTTGCATCTCAATTTCATCAATAAAATAGGTTGCTTTAGTGTTGAATGATACCAATTCTACATTGAATAAGGGAACAAGAGATGGATTAATCATAAGAATGAAAGTACATGTAGTATGATTCAAGAATGTCCATTCATATCCGTCTTTTTATCTTAAAGATGGCATAGCAATTCCATACGTACTTATTTATCAGTGCAATCAAGAATAATACAGGAATGTTTATCAAAAAAAAATCAAAAAATAGCAAAAGACCTGCTTTGAAATCCACCTCCATAACATTCGGAGTCTTGCAAAGTCATGCACCTTATTACGCATGTGTATAACACACCAAGCAACAGTTTTTGAAACTCTATTTGCAACGTTATTCATGCCAAACTGAACTTTTACGTTATGTCGCACTAAGTATCGCGCTATTTCGCAGTACGTTTTGCGTTATTTCGCAATGATATTACGCTATTTCGCAACAAAGAAATTACGTTATTTCGCAATACCATAATCATTACGTTATTTCGCAATACTTCACAAATACATACATATTCATTGAATCAGCTTACTTATTTATCAGTGCAATCACGAATAATACAGGAATGTTTTAAAAAAAAATTCAAGAAATAGAAAAAGACCTGCTTTCAAATCCACCTCCCATATCTCTACAAGGGGGTCAATCGCTTCTCAAAAAGGGGGGGGGCATACCTTGATCAGACTGCGACCGCAAAGCGCGAAGCCCTAACAGTGTGGGGTTTAGGAAACTTTTTGCGTTCTAGACGATCTGTGTTGCGATCTTAGGCATTTTTTTACAATTTAAACAAATTTTTGTGAGCAAAAGTTCATCTTTTAAACATTGTTTGTTCGAGTTTGAGGTCATTGACTAAGCCTTTCTGAGCTTAATTTGGCTACAATTTTCATACGGGGATGAACAAAGATAAAAAAAAACCATATATCCCCCACCCCCCACCATTATTAGTTCTAACTTTACAAAAAGTGATGACATTGTTCCATCGGCTGTATGAATTGTATGCCTTCGTAAGAATTGTATGCATGTATCGCCCTGAAAAGCACTATACATCAGTTATGCTAGAACGCATAATTTTCGGTTAGAACAGCACCCCCATCGACAGATGGTACCAGCCCCCCTCGCCCCCCCCCCCCTCTCAATTTGATTTTACGGAGGCCAATTGTACTGAGAAAAAATGTGTCTGTATATACATTTCAGCCTGGATGTGTAAGTGACCTTTTCAAGACATTGTTACCCCCCCCCCCCCGACCAATATACATGTAAATGTCCTTGCTATGCTCCTGTTGCCTCTTTCAGGGGTTAAACTTTCAAGGCAGCACCTCAAGCTAAGCATCTTTCTGAGTTCTTTTCATATGCTGTTGTGCCTGAATGAAATAATAAGTCTTTATTCATCGTTACTACAACATGACTTGTCAGGGTATGAACAGCAGAATACTCAAATAGCCAGAAAAAAAGGCCATTTTGGGGTTAATTTTGAATTTCAAGGGGTGGGGTTATTTAAGAGATACAGCATTAGTTTTGGTGTCAACAGTCTTGTATTGATGGTGTTAACCATTTCCCAGATGGGCGTCTTCATATTTTGACATTGGACTTTACCACCCCCCTCTATTAGTACTCGACCGCTATATTGCAACACTTTAATCATACATGTGCGACACCAAAGATGAATAAAAAACAAACAAACAAATATCATCTAGAATTGTATTGTTTTTTTTTTCTTTGTAAAAAGCCCTAATGACGGGTGGAGGTGGCAGTGCACATTTTGATGATTTTAGTTTGTGTTGGTAAATAGCCCCAGTGGCGGATGGTGGCAGTGTACATTTGAGTGATTATTTATTATCTAGAATATTATATTTGTTTCTACTGTAAATAGCTATAAAGGCGGATGGAGGTGACAGTGCACATTTTGATGATTTTAGTGGTGTTTTTTTTTTGTGAATAGCCCTAACGGCGGATAGTGGCAGTGTACACTATAGGGATTATTCATTATCATTTTAGCGATTATTTATCATCTAGAATTTTATATATTTTTTTCATTTGTAAATAGCCCTAATGCCGGATAGTGGCAGTGTACATTTGAGTGAACGCGCCGCCTCGCCTACGTATGTAGCTAGCCCTGCGCGACGTGAACTCGTACGGTCCATATTGTGTGACAAGCATACTGTCTGTGCTCGGTGTAGGCACGGACGTCCGCGCCGCGAGTGCCCGTTCAGTTTCTTGATGAAAGACTCGCTAACGACGCCATAGAACCAGACTAATGAGACTATGCCTAATAACTGGCACGTTTACTGGCCTGGTGGCTTGCATGACATGATTAAATGTTAAATGTCTATATTGTACAGCACTTTTTTAATTTGTACACCCTGCGAACATTCTCATGCATTTATCTGCTAAAATATTGCGTGCGCTGGAATTTAAATGAAAATCATTTGCAAAACGATGTGTCAATTAGCAACAGTTCGAGGTTTGGGCGCACGCAGTGCCTACGCAGCACGCACGCGCACTTACTGAGCAGTCCATCCGATCATGACTTAAGTCCAGCAATGAGAAGCAGTATACTCATCACATCCATGCAGTTTCTGATAATTAGGAATTTTCAGCTGTATAAATGATATATAGTTTTGTATTGTTGCCTCAGTATTGCTCAGCTTTTCTACCAGTAATTTCAATCAAATTCTGAATGTAGGACCCCGACGTGTTTTGCATGGACATTTCCAGCAGCAACTGACAGTTAAAACGAACACGAAATAACAACAATAATAACAAAGCATTTGTAAGGCGCACAGTATCTGACAAAAATAGTCATTCAAAGGCGCTGGTCAGTGAAAAATCAGTGTGTGTGAAGGTAGAGGTCATTATGTGTGAGAAAGAAACTGATTGAAGAGGTGGGTCTTTAGTTGGAGTGTGAAGAGAGATAATTGGTGTGTTGCCCTTAACTCGTCTGGTAACGCGTTCCAGAGACGCGGTGCAGAGCTGGAAAATGCACGGTCTCCGTAGGTTACCAAACGAGTCTTCCGGACAAACAGTATATTGGATGACGACGACCTCAGACCTGGTCTCAGTTGACGATGTTGAACCATTTCCTTCAGATACAGTGGGGCTAAGCCATGAAGAGCTTTAAAAGTAAGAAGGACTTTGTAATGGATGCGGTACTGGATTGGTAGCCAATGAAGTTTGCGCAAGATGGGTGTTATGTGGGAAGATGATTTCGTTCTTGTGAGTGTGCGAGCGGCAGAGTTCTGGACAAGTTGAAGACGTTTTATCGTATGTTGTGGTAAACCTACAAGTAGGCTATTGCAAAAATCTAATCTGGATGATATGAAGGCACGGATAAGTTGTTCTGCGGCAGAGAATGTAAGTGAGTTTCTTACTGCTGCTATACGTCGTGGATGTATGTAAGAGGACTGACAAATAGAAGAGACATGTCGTTCAAGGTTCATTGACTTGTCAAAAATGACACCAAGATTGCGGGCTTCAGAGCAAGGACCGATATGTGTATCTCCTATGTGTATGTCAGAGATGTTGACTTTGTGTCTGAGGTGCTGATAACATATGACAAGGTACTGTGTTTTAGCTGCATTGAATTTGAGGAGATTGGCTGTCATCCACTGTTGGATGTTTTTCAGGGATGTTTCAAGAATACGGTGTGTAATAGTGTCATCACCAGGAGAACTTGGTCAGAAGGTGGCATAGAGTTGTGTGTCATCTGCATAAAAATGAGGGTGTAGGCCATGACGTCTTGCAATGCGCCCTAACGGAGATATGTATAATGTGAACAGCAGAGGTCCTAATACGGACGCTTGCGGAACCCCATGTCGGAGAACTGACCGATCAGACAACTCTCCAGATATGTTGACAGCCTGAGATCGATCTTGGAGGTATGATCTGAACCATGAAAGTGCAGATCCCTGTACCCCAAAGTGATACTGTAACCTATGTAGCAGGATTTTATGGTCAACGGTGTCGAAGGCTGCTGAGAGATCTAGCAGAACCGGGAGAACAACCCTTTTGTTGCCAACAGCGAGCATTATGTCGTTGTGAACTTTGACAAGTGCTGTCTCAACACTATGAAACTTAGTGTACGCTGATTGGAGGTTGTCCCGCAGGTTATGTTGAATGAGATGTGCATTCAACCTGGCTGCATCTACTCTCTCAACAACCTTCGACATAAAAGGCAAATTTGAAATTGGACGATAGTTCTTTAGATCAATAGAGTCCAGTGATTTCTTCTTGATGACGGGTGTGATGAGAGCTGTCTTGAAGCATGTCGAGAAGTGACCTGTGGCGAGTGACTTGTTGATGATCAGTGTTATAGGGTGAATCAACACGTTGATGTGATCCTTTACCAACGATGTCGGTATTGGGTCAACAGGGCAGGTCTTCGTCGGTGCACTCTTGACGATCTTCATCACTTTAAAGGGGAGATTGGCAAAACTCAAGATCTGCCTGCGCAGGATTAATGCCGGGATCCATTTCTGCTAAGTCATTTCTGATCTTGGAGATCTTGCTGTCGAAAAAGTCAGAAAAATGGGTAGCCATCACATTGGGTGAATAAAATGATGGGAGTATGGGTGTTGTTTTCTTGTGCAGAAGATGGTTTATGACCTTGAAAAGGGCGCTTTGGTCACCATCACAGCCTTGGATTTTCTCTGAGTAGTAATTCGTCTGGTAATACCTGTATTAGGATTTTACCAGATCTCTCTGCGACTGGAACATCTTACGGTGTATCTGTAACTTGGATTTTCGCCAGCGTCGTTCAAGTTGACGACGCTTGCGTTTGGCCTCTGCGATGTCATTGTTGTACCAAGGAATTTTTGGTTTATCTACAATTTTGCAGGTTTTGGGGGGAGCGTGAGAGTCAAGCAGTTTACAGAGTACAGAGTTGTACTGGTCGACTAAGGTGTCTGGCGTATCTGCAGGGCATGTGATGAGCGGAGATGTGGCAATGTCATCCTTAAATTTAGTGGGGTCTATCGCAGTGATCTTCCGATACGTGATTTTGTGCCTCACATATCTTGGTTTACGCAAGTCCAACCGGCAATGGACAGCACAATGGTCAGACACAAAGTCCGATGTGTCAACAGATTGTACGAGGGTGTCGAACTGTCGCATGATCACAAAGTCTATTGTGTGACCAGATGTGTGAGTTCCAGTGGTTACCAATTGTTGCATGTTGAACTGTGTGAGGAGGTTACCAAAACGCCGGTCATTAGCTGTAGGGGTGCTGGGGTAGGCGTCATTGTTCCAGTGGATATTGAAGTCTCCTAGTATAATAAGCTGCCCAGTGAACAACGCATACCGATCAAGAAGGGAGGCGAACTCATCCATGAACGTAGTTAATGAGCTGTGTGGTGGACGGTACAACACAATGATTCGGAAGTGCTTGTTGTCATGGTTATGAATGTCAACTTCCATAGATTCAAAGGAAGATGGCGGTGGATGGCTACACTGCTTGACAACAGACGCCGTCAAGCTAGACTTGTAGATTAGTCCGACACCACCACCTCGACGCCCTTTTCTGGGGATATGTACCAGCTTATATCCCTTGGGAGTTATACTAGCGGTGTTCCGATCTTGTTCAGCACGAAACCATGTTTCTGTTAGAGCTAGGATGTCATTGTTATAGTCACGAATGTGATCTATAATCAAATCTGACTTATTACAAGCTGATTGACAGTTTATCAGGCCGAGGTGTGTCATAGTTAGGGCATTCTTGTCAAGGTGTTTGGTCGTATCCCCTTCTTTTCGTTTTCCTCCCCGGCAACCCCTATGTTGACGGTGCCTTGTAGTGATACCAAGCGATCTCATGTTATCGAACACTTTGGTGGGGAGTTTAGATCTTGGGTTGGTCATTTTGACTTCGATGGTTATCAGTTCATCCTTGCTATACTGCAGTGCTTTCCCTGTGTACATGGTTGATAGGGACAATGTAGTAGCAATTGTCAATAACAAAAGACACTTACACCGTGCGTGAATCATGGTTACAGACCGGTGGCATATAGCTGTCGAAAAGCAACATCAAATGTCACATTACAGAGTTCCATACTGATGACAACAGTTTGACAGGAATGGACAGGAACCCAACACACACCTGATGTGCAATCTTGGAGTCATCAAGAATTGACGCAGTGGTAGAAAATGTGACTTTTCAAGATGCCAAAATGTGGGGCTGCCTCAAGGCGCACACCGTCAGTATATTGAAAGAGGCTTACCCTACTCAGTTGAATGCACAAAGCAAACAAAGTCAGGGATTGTTAGTAGATTGTTTCCCTGGCAATGCTGCTTAGGCTATTGTCTAATTTAAACTAGCGATCAAACTAATTGGTACTGATCAATCAATGGCTGACAACCTGTATAAATCTCTGATGCTGTACGTGGCTGAAATGATTCGGTCAGATGAAACTCGCCCTTTGTATGAAAAATGTACTAGAAGTGCAGGGAGTTATCATCTTTTACAGCGGAGGATTAGGACGTTATAGCGGTATACCAACACATTTGTCCCTTCAGCTGTTCCGATTTTGTTCTTCTTCCTTTTCTACTTATTCCTCTTCTTCTTCCTTTTCTTCCTTTTCTTTTTGTTGTATCTCATATCCCATAGACTTTGTACGCGTCTTTTCTGGACGCAACTTTTGACTTTCATCTTTGTCATACATCTTTGTCATACATCATTCAAAGTTAGCACAGACATAGCCCCTACTGCAAAGTTGTGTCTCGACAAGTAATGTCATGATGACATCATCATTTGCCAAATGACATCACCACAGGTGCATTTTTTAATGGCCTATATCTGGAGATCTACAAGGCAGATTTTGTCGAAATTTTCGGTATACACATATCGGGATGTACTATAACTGAAGGTGACATTAAGATGAAGACATATGATTTTATATGGATTTTGTACATTTTGAAGTTCAATGCCACATCTAATGAACGCAACATAGTAAATTCAAAATTCTTTCTGTAATTGGTTTGTTAGGTCATAGATATGTGAAAAGTGTGTGACCTCATGATGACGTCTTCAAAAATGCAATTGTTACAGCACCTAAGGGAAGGTCCTGTCGTCATGAAACTTGAAGGGAAAGTAGATAATATATTTTGCAAAATCCGAAATGAGGTCAGGGTGACATTGTTTGTTTTCTTATTGTAGAAAAGCCTTGGTCAATGCTCTCGTCGTTATTCGTTCCGTACGCGGTCAATCGTCGGCATATGTCCTCACGCGCTATGCACATGCATGTAAAAATACAGCGCGAACAGCGACCTCACGCGGCCAAAATTTGTATATGCAATTCAGTTGGGGACGATCGAGAGCCTTAGTTCAATCGTCCATGTGAGGTTTTGGGGGTGGTGCTAATTATGTTAATAGCCTTAGCTGACCTTAAATCTCGTTTTCTTATCGGTCGATCGTTGCGGGGAAACTTGCCTAGTGAAACATGGCACCGTACATAATCCATACACGTACACGTTGTGTGTCTCTGCACCCGGCACAGATGCACAAAACTGTGGTTCCTGTCACGTCCGCAAAAGGCGAATAGCTGCAAATAATTTGATGACGTCCGGATTTACCAAGGTGTGATTGGACACTCCACATATTAGCCCCGCCTACACTTATCTGTATTCGCATTCGAGGTCGTGCGCTAGAAATCCAGCGCAAAATGAAGAAAAACATAAGCTTTTGCCGACGATTGAACCAAGGCTCTCGATCGTCCCCAACTGATTTGCATAAAACAATAGTGGCCGCATGAGGTCGCTGTTCGCGCTGTATTTCTACCTGCATGTGCATAACGCGTGAGGATATATGCCGACGATTGACCGCGTACGGGACGAATAACGACGAGAGCATTAACCAAGGCTAATTGTAGAACCACAATGTGTTTTGAATGGAAATTCTCAACAGCGACTGACAGTTAATAACGAACGCGAAATGAAAGAAGCTTACCCTTCTCAGTCGAATGCACATAGCAATCAAAGTTGAGGATTGTTAAAGTTTGTTTCCCTGACAACGCTGCTTTGGGCGTTGTGTAGTTAGAGTTGAGTACACTGTTAGGAATATTGCATTTTTCGACAGTTGTTCCCCATTAATTAACAGCTAAAATTGGCCGATGACTTTCACGGTTGATCTTCGTTATTATAGAAGCTTTTTCTTTAGAATGAGACAAAAAGGCCCATATATCCCGCACAGACATCGTACACTGTTTTCTGTATATTGTCACTTCCCCATTCGTTCATATCTTAATGAAACTTGGTGTGGACATAGACCCTATGCCAAAACAATTTGTGTGTATGGTACCTCAAACACTGATGTCATATTGACCACAGGTCACGTCCTTTCAGTGTAAAGAATATTATTTAGTGGATAACTAAATAACTGATGGTGCATGACTAGGATATAAATGCTGAACAACATCAATGTATCTTTTGCGAAGAAGATTTTCGATTTGATGACGTCCGGATTTACCAAGGTGTGATTGGACACTCCACATATTAGCCCCGCCTACACTTGTCTGTATTCGAATACGAGGTCGTGCGCTAGAAATCCAGAGCAAAATTAAGAAAAACATAAGTTAATGCCGACGATTGAACCGAGGCTCTCGATCGTCCCCAACTGATTTGCATAAAACAATAGTGGCCGCATGAGGTCGCTGTTCGCGCTGTATTTTTAATTGCATGTGCATAGCGCGTGAGGATATATGCCGACGATTGACCGCGTACGGGACGAATAACGACGAGAGCATTAACCAAGGCTAATTGTAGAACCACAATGTGTTTTGAATGGAAATTCTCAACAGCGACTGACAGTTAATAACGAACGCGAAATGAAAGAAGCTTACCCTTCTCAGTCGAATGCACAAAGCAATCAAAGTGGAGGATTGTTAAAGTTTGTTTCCCTGACAACGCTGCTTTGGGCGTTGTGTAGTTAGAGTTGAGTACACTGTTAGGAATATTGCATTTTTCGACAGTTGTTCCCCATTAATTAACAGCTAAAATTGGCCGATGACTTTCACGGTAGATCTTCGTTATTATAGAAGCTTTTTCTTTAGAATGAGACAAAAAGTCCCATATATCCCGCACAGACATCGTACACTGTTTTCTACATATTGTCACTTCCCCATTCGTTCATATCTTAATGAAACTTGGTGTGAACATAGACCCTATGCTAAAACATTTTCTGTGTATGGTACCTCAAACACTGATGTCATATTGACCACGTCACGTCCTTTCAGTGTAAAGAATATTATTTAGTGGATAACTAAATAACTGATGGTGCATGACTAGGATATAAATGCTGAACAACATCAATGTATCTTTTGCGAAAAAGATTTTCAATTTGATGACGTCCGGATTTACCAAGGGGTGATTGGACACTACACATATTAGCCCTGCCTACACTTATCTGTATTCGCATACGAGG